GGTTAGTACTCTGCGTTGTGGCCGCAGCAACCCCGGTTCGAATCCGGGTCACGGCAGTCTTTTGAGGTCCACCGAGGCTTCCGTCCATTGTCTTGATAAAAAATGTGTTGGTGTCGAGGTTTGGTTTGACACAAAGTCCCTGAAACTGTTTCTAACAAATAACCACAAAAAAAAACTTCCACCTAAACATCAGCAAATATCTGCTGTTGACGTGTACAAACTGATCTTAGGCTTGAAATGACAGTAAGTCAGAAAAAGATAAAAGTAGAATTGGAGTGTGAAATAGCTTTACAGACATTTTGAGTAGGTAAAGTTTAAAAAAAGACAGACAAATGAGTCAAAAGAGTCAAAGGGCGCAGGAAATGGAAACGAGAGAAATCCCCAGGATGCTTTGAGTCCTCAGCCTTTGAACATGGATGGCTGACACCGGGTAGCTTACATAAAATACATATCATTTTCAGTTTACTACTTTTTTTGTTCCCATTTATTATAACACAAAATAAAACAACAGCAACAAGTTTCAGTGTTCCAATCCAACTACACAGTGTGCTGGAGTTATTATGTGTGTGTATCTCAGACTGTGTGTGTGTGTGAGTGTGTGAGTGTGCAGACATATGTCATCAAGACTTTTCTCCTTGGCTGTTATATCAGACTGAAAATGAATCACACCTCTTGGCCTTGATAGGTTTACTGCAGCGCGTTAGGCACCGGACTGAGTCGAGAGGCCCACAACAGAAGAGCCTTGCTCTGATTTGTGGCGACAGTTTCATAGGCTTGTTAAGGCTGAAGCACACAATGTGCTCGGTAGACGGAGATAATCTGAAACAGTTCAGGGGAAGAACAAATCTATTGCACCTCAGGCTCCAGGGGAAGCTGGCTGAATACAAATTAATTTAGTCATTTATAAAAGAGTCCTCTGGCTGCCAAGCAACAAAGTGACACATTTTTACTGTTACCCAACACTCAGTGATCCAAGGGAAGGAAGGGTCACTCATAAAGGAGCAGTAGCTCATACAGTGTCGTATAGTACTCTTGACACTGGTGATTAATTAAAGGCAGTGCAACAGAGATGTAATCACTTTTATTTGTTTATAATGTGCAAATAAATGTTTTCTTTTCTTTTAATTGTTAGTTAAATCGTAGAATCGCAATTAATTAAAGAGATAGCCTCTGTGTGAAAAGAAACATCATTAGTTATGTTATGTTATGTTCAGTTATGTTGTCTGGATGCAATAAAACAAATGTATGATATGCATTATTCACATTGATAATAAGACATATCAGTCAATCAGTTGATGATAAATTGTGAAACTGTGCAGTTTTCACACAGGTGTGTGCACTACCTCGTTACTCACTTCTGTCAGACGATTTCATTGATCTTATCTGTAAAAGTAAAAAAAATACAACTAAGAGATCTAATTGTGCAGACACTTTTATAAATGTATACATTTTTTTCTTTCTGAATTTCCTTTGTGAATTCACACAATAGATTATTTTTTGTCAGAGAAGTGGAAATATTCTGCAATTCATAATGTGTCCACATGGTGTCACCCTTAGCTTCCGTTTTCACTTCACAACTCTGCTGAATCTGATCTGAAATGCTTTTTTCTGAAGTGTAATAATTGAAGAAAGCGGGCAAAACATGAGTTGGGCTTGTATTAAATAAATATGTAATAAAAAGAAACATTGTGCTCAGTTCAGTAGTCTCTCAGTGGTTATCAGGACCATCAGGGGGTCTTAAGGAAAATGTAAGTGCTCTTCAGATACAACAGTTAATGTGCTTTTTTAAAGTTTTATTTTCACTCACTTGAGTTTTGTAAAAAAAAAATCCTTTAAATGAAATAATCTGGTTGGTCCCCACTTCAGTTCAGATCAAAATATCCCAGCAACCCATTATATAGATGGCCATGAAATATTCACAGTGCCCTTAAGATAAATCCTACTGACTTTAGAGATCCTCTGACTTTTCATCATGTGTGATTTCAAGTGAAATGTCTCTATTTGATGGATTGCTATATAATTTTGTGGAGACATTCACGTCCCCCTCAGGATGAATTACAGTAAATCTGGTAAATCCAACTCTAACTTTCCTGCAAGATGTTCCCATCAGCTTCAAATGGCCACTTGAGGCTGGCACCAAAAGCAAGTCAATTTCCATAAGCTCCAATGTTAAAATTCCCAAATTTACAGCAGAAATAAACATGTTTACAGCCTGCTACAGGTCTCTGCTTTGGGCTAATTACATTACTAAATGGAAGTATTGAAATAAATACTATGCTGGACATCCGTTTTGAATGTATGCTCAGCTTTCCATTTGGTGCCTCAACAAACACAACAAATAATCATTCAACTGTAGTCCAAGCAGATGACTTAATTAACACTGAGTTGTAAGAGCCTTGTATGTATGCAGATAATGGATTTTGCTGGCTTTGTTTGTGTATCAGAGGCAGATTATATCTGCAGTAATCTACCCTTGAGTGTGAGCTGCAGTTTCTCTGTTCCGTTAATATTCCATGTGGTAACACTGCTTCAGGCACAATTAGAAATGTATTGTTGTCATCATTTGTCCGACTACTTCCTTTCTTGTCTGTCTTCACTGAAACTCTCCTAGGAGATCTACTCCTTTTAGTTATGTGCCCCACATTCTGTGAAAATCGCCATTATTAATTCAGCTTAAGAGGCCCTCAAGTGGTGTAAGGCTGTGTGTGTATGTGTGTGTGTGTGTGTGTGTGTGTGCGCCTTGATGTGTGCGCAGGCAGTCTTATACTCACACACTCATTTGTGCGTGAGCTTGCCGTTGCTTGTGGCTGATATAGATGCCAAAGAGAGAGTATCTAAGCTTTAGGGCTCCTGCTGACACACTGACCTCACACTGAAAGGAGTTGGCACCAAAAGAAAACCAAAGCTCCGATTCCAACTGAAACATGAGGCTGGTGTGTTCAGATTAAACCACTCAACAGAGCATTTTTGAGAATTCTTGGATTTGAAAAAAAACACCTTAATGTGGACAGAGGAAAACGGGTTTTCAGATTACATAATAGTCTCAGACAGTGTGCAAAATCACTCCCTATTTACTATAGTGAACTACATTTACTGTCTGAATTCTGACTGTGTAAATGTATCCACTATATGCTGCCCTCAAAAATCCCACAATGCAATGTGCTACATTTTATAGATATGAAAATTAAAGTTGAGAGCGACTCTATAGCTGTTAACACAAGATGATGAAAAGAGTGTCCACTTACTGCTCACTACTGAGTAAGCTATTGAGTGTCCATTACAAGGACCTGCACAGGTAGCTTTGAGTGGCTTTTGCACCCCCAAATGTTATATGTCACTTATCACCATGTACCTGAATCGTGTAGAATATGATCATATAACTGAATTTTTAAATTTGTAAATAGTTTTAAATTTGAAATAGTTTTAAATTTAGTTTTAAACTGGGTTGGCTGTGGCTCAGGAGTCTACTAATCGGAAGGTTGGGCGGTTCGATCCCCGGCTCCTCCCGCTGCATGTCGAAGGGTCCTCGAGCACGATACTGAACCCCAAACTGCTGCTGATGCTGTGTCATCAGTGTGTGAATGTGTGTGTGAATGGGTGAATGTGACATGTAGTATACAGCGCTTTGAGGAGTCGAAAGACTAGACAAGAGCTACATAAGTACAGTCCATTTATCAAATCCTGCATGCTCCTTCCAACCATCCATTCATTTCCAAAACCACTTGTTGTGTTTGGTCTCTGTCCCAGCATGCACTGGGCAAGACACCTTAGACAAGTCACCAATACAGGGCCTAACACGGTTTACCTCAGTTACAGTTTCAGCAAATCCTCATGAGGGCAAACACATCATTAAATGTGATTTGTCTAATACATGTAACTCTCATGTAGGATTAGTGGTATTGAGTAGAAATAAAGACCTCCCTTGACTCAATGACACACGCTGGCAGGCTGCGGTCTGCCCAGATTGTAAAAAGCTTTCGTGGTACAGCTCAGTCAGTTCTCTGCTGAAAGATGCTACAGTATTGCAGCCATTGCTATGTGGCTGTGAAAGCCTTACAAGTTTAGGCTTTTAAGTGGAACCATGCTGTTATTGTGCCCTGATCTCCAAACCCTACTTCATGTAAGGAGCATATGCTTTAGAAGCCAAAGCCCTAATCAACAGATCAACATGTATTTGAAGACCTGGCAGGGATTAGGTTGCTCTCTATCTTTTTTTAAAAGAGCCTTAAGAGCACATGGGGTCCCTCAGAGGGGAACTATGGTTGTGTTCAGGAATAATTCCTCATGCAGAGACAGCAGCTGTTCTCGTCTGCCATCAAGCTGTTTTGTTTCCATGAGAGCAAGGTGGTCATGACCTCGGGGACTTTTGGGCAAAAATAGTGTGACACAGCAGTTTTTATGGAGATAGCCTTCAAAATACTGCATGAATAATAAAACGAGGCGATAATATAAATGCTGTGTGGGCATCAATGTCAATATGTGCTTGGGAACTTGAGGTCATTCAAAGCTCGGAGATTGTCTCGTATGTTTTAAAATGGTCAAGCTGCTAGGTTTAAAATGTTTCTATAAGGGAACGGATTTTGATGGATGATGATGAGGTTTTCATTCAACAGCGAGAGCGGTAATCGAGAGGGAGAGCCAAATGTTACATGACAAGATTCGGTAGCCAGTTTTGAACCCAGAGCGGTAAAAGTAAATCGTGCAGCATCATCCTGCTATCATATAAAACCCTGAGGACACCATTAGCAGCAGTACTTTTCCAAAGAGGTGCATTACTGCTGCCCCACTTCCCCTTCCCTCGCCGCCTGGGACTACCTTTAGGGGAGCGCTGCATCTTTGCTCCCAGGGTGACACAGATGGTCTGTGCATTATACAACATGACAACTGCATTAAACATGAACACAGCTGGATTGTGTCTACAAAGCACAAATCCTCGGTTTATGGAAGGTCTCTCGTACTGGAGGTGCTTTTATTCCAGATGCTTGAACAGAATATGTGGAGGATGCTCAGTGTGAAGGATCCTTTTTAACACCAGCACATCATCATTGTACATGTTTGTTGGCAGCTGCATGTTTTGACCAGACTGTTTGAGCTGATAACATTTTTTTTATATTTTATACGAAAGAAATTGTTCTGCATCTTAAATATGTCAAGACTCCTACTGATGCAATTATTGTCAGTGTTTTTTTTTAAGTCTCATTTTGATGTTACAGGACTTTTCATAAAATTAAGGTTAGAAAGCTGCATTTAATCCTCAAACGACCAAAGTGAGGATTTAGATGTTATGTCTCTCAGTTTGTCCTTACATGTTTGATTACTGAAGCAGCCTAATCCACTAATGTGACAAACGGGGAAACATGAGTAATTACATTCAGAGATTTGTGGGACGTAAAGTGTATATCAAGGGGTTTATATATTGATAAGGGGATAAAACATTGTAAAGAAACTGAAAGTGGATAGTTCCTTATTCTCACATTTACCTCTATAGGTGCTAACAGGCATGGCCACTAGTTGGTAGCCTTGCCCTTTTTATTTTATTCAGAGACAGAGGTTTGTGAGCGCTACAACCTCATCTAAAGGCTATATTAATATTTCTTATTCTCATCAGAACAGACTGGATTTGAGTTGAATTACTACAGTGTAATAACAATCTCATATGTTATCTTTTCACTCAGCATTAGCCAATATTTTCTTTTTCTTAACGAGCATATTGTGCTAAAAAAACCTACTTTTTAAGTTATTGTATCACCTCTGTTAATAGCAAAGCCAATGTTTACAGAATAGAAGATGAATCATGGTGGGAATACAGGAGGTGACACCACGCCTCTGTTTGCCTGTGTGTGTGTGTGTGTGTGTGTATGTGTTGTGTGTTGTCGGGGAGGGGTGGGAGGGGAGAGAGAGGGGGCAGGTACCAGACTTTGAGCCCCTCCTCCAGAGGAGCCACGGTGCGCCTCTGTTCCAATGGAAACAGGTGGGATCCCCGGACTCCTCCAATCACACCCCTCCCTCCATGCGGGTGGGGGTTGGGGTGGGGGGAGTCCAGGGCAAGGAGGCAGGACCCAGCCAACTTCCACACTCACAGCAGGAAAAAGTCGGGAAAGCACATCTGTCCCCCGTATGTCGCTGTTTCCTGGTGGCCCTGCGTGTGTTTGGAAGCTGTTGCGGAGAGTACCAGCAGGACAGCGGTTCACCGGAGCGCTGCCGAACCACTTGCCGCCACTTGGCCGCTGTTGAGGGCGGTGTAGTAGCGCCGCAACGCCGGGACGGTTCGCTGCGATGGAGAACATGTACTAACCGGATTTTTTGGAATTGTTTTTCCTGGATTACTTGCCGGTTAAACCGACCCGACTCGGGTTTTGTTTTCCTCCGGTTCCTCTGGTAGTGTGGAATAGTAATTACTTTTTTCAAAATGCCTGCAAAAACCAAGTATAACCTGGTTGATGATGGGCATGATTTGAGGATCCCGTTGCACAACGAGGAAGCGTTCCAGCATGGGATCAACTTCGAGGCAAAGGTAACTTTAACGTTACGTTCACACGCAGCTGTGAGGCGTTAAATAAGCCTGCGTCAGCCTTTAACGTCTTACTCACGGATAACGTGTGTTTTTGTTGTCCTCGTTAGACAACATGTCCACAAACACATTTAGAGACACTGTACTTCCCTCTAAAGGCTTTCTATTCAGAAGACAGAGCTAGTGAAGCAAGTTGTTAGGCTAGTTGAGAGGTTGAAGTTGTCCAGAGTTAATCATTACCTTCAGTGGACACTTGAAGTGTTTCCCAGACGTTAATAAAAAACCAAATGAATGCCAACTGTTGTTTCATTAATGTGTTAATGTGCCTATCATCTCTCACCCCCCCTCCGGCGACAGTACATCGGCAGTCTGGATGTGACGCGGCCGAGCAGCAGAGTGGAGATTGTGGCTGCGATGCGGAGAATACGGGTGAGTGGAGTCTTCACAGAACTCCGTTTAAAATCCTGTCGTTTTTCCCATTATCGCTTATCAGCTAATGAGCATCTCTGGCAGAGTACGAAATGAGGTGTTTTAGGATTAACTGTGGCCCACGGCTGTATTCGGTGATAGTGTGATTGACTGAACGGCGACTTATATCAGGAAAGCATCAACTTTTTGAAACTGGTTTTACTGTCCACTCCAGTGAAGCCAGTTTGGTTTGAAGATAAATTAAAGATTACTGAAGTGATTGTGATCTGGGTTTTTATTTCTGATGCTGAACTAAAGAGAACACCACAATTGTAAAAGTACAATGTGTAATTTTGCCAACTATCCCTGATATTAAAATGTAAAATATTGATAATATGTATTGTTGGACTACTTTGTGCCCTTTCCCACTGCAGCCCCCCAGAGAATGGCCTCACAAATCACCAACATAAAGAAGTGTGTAACAGATGATTGGACACATTAACTGCAGTGTTATCATTTAGAGACTGTGTGAATGCACCTTGGAGTTTAAACCGTGCAGACTTTGTGCTGTCCCGGACTGGGCTTGCCTGGCGGGGGGTTTGGTCTCCCATGTGCTCCATCACTATTTTGAAGTTTCCTTTGAAGCGATGCACTGGAGTGTGATCTCTCACCCCCCCTCGCTCCCTCATTCTGCTGTAAACCTAAGATTTACAGCTTTTTCAGCTCCAGAAAGTAGACTTAATCTTAATCAGTGTGTGTGCCAGTGTGGTAGCAGCTGGCTCAGCAACCTAGTATAGGTTGTGCCAGTGGTGTAGAGGTATTTGAGGATTATGGTGATGAATTGGTAGGTGTGCTGGGATTAATTGACCAAAACCACACACACACACACGGTGGGCAACACAAGCACACATTTTTGTTTGTATTTTATTACTTAATGGTTTTAAAGGAATTTGAGTGCCATAAAGCAGCACTAAAATAAGGCTTATGCTGAATGAATGCCCCATCAGTTCACTTTTCCTGACATTTAATTTCAAATAACTGCCTGTTTCTATTAAATTGACTGTAGGATAGCAACGCCAGCGGCAGTCGGAGCGCAGTCTTTACCTGCGTGCTGTTATGTGATGAAGTTCCTTCCAGCAGGACACCCACTCTCATATACATGTGCGCACACAGAGTTGAGCATAAGGTGCAAAATGTCCTTATTGCTGTGACCTGCTCCTATAAAGTGGACCTCCCAGTGTGCTGCCATGGCAGCTGTTGTTGTTGGCAGGAAAACAGGCTTTGGTTTGGCTCCGTCAGTGTGAAAATGGTTTAACACTGGTTTGACAACACAATGGAGGGAAACCACAGGTATCTAACTTGGAAGTCACACTGGAAAGCATGGGACTGCTGGACTAGCTCTGAGGGCATTTGTTTTACTTGGGCAGGAAGTAAGCCAAAGCAATTGATTTAAGAAGAAAATAAAGAAATTAAAACCTTAGTGAGTGAAAAAAGTTGTTTTGGCAAATTAAGAGTGATTGACCTATTTGGCAGGAGGATCGTGGCTGTTTTACATCAGATCGTTTTCGTACTGATTAATACATGCTCACTGCAACCACAGAATTCTGACTGTTACATAACATGTTGTTTTTTAATTATGATTCAGAATCTGAAGCCTTTTTATTGAATCCTTGTTGCATAAGAAAATAAAACCAAAATGTGTTGAAAGCACAAAGCACCTTTATTATATTTATGTCATCCCTCAGGTATAATAAAACTATAAAATATACAAAAAAGGTCTCCCCATCCACAATATAAACGCTGGTTAATAACTTAGTAACTTGAACTGATCCCCTAAAAACAGGCTCTTCTGTGGAATTATTTATGACAACAACTAAGGACATAACATTTGCTTTATGCTTACACTATACTGCTGTGTCTCCACGATGTATGCAATTTATGACATTTTCCTTGAATTCCCACAGTTTTGTCCCATTTGAGTCGGGTGTTTAACCAAAACAATGTGAATCGATATCATGGTCTTTTTTCATGTGAGGCAGAGACAACAAAAAAGAGGCTTTTAGTTAGAGAAATGATTGTTTTTACTCTCTAAACTGCTGGATGTTTTTACTGTCAAGCACATACAGAAAGTGCCGGGGAAGTGTTTGAGGCCAAAGCATTGTAAAGGCATAGATCAGAGGCTTCTACTCCATCCGTTGAATGAGCAGGAATTTACAGGTACATCAAAACAATGACACTGTTTTCCACCCGCTGGGCGATGGCGGTGAATAGAAAGATTTCCAGACCGCTCGAAAGCCTTTCTGTTCAGTCCCTACAAGAAGTGGGTTAGGGCTGCAGGTATTGATTAATCAAATAATCGACTAAGAACAACTTTTGCTTTATTGAAGCAATAGCAACATTATAGAAATAGTAAATGTACAGTGGAGAAAGTAAGACAGGTCTGTTAAACGGTTTCAGAGTTTTCTCAAGGATTTCTTTCAGCAGCGGAGGGAAAGGCTTCTGTTCCAACCCCACTGTACTGGTGGTCGAGTATTTTCAAAGTGGGATATTCGTTTTTCAACTTCAGTAAACGATCTGATCCTTCCTCCACCTCTGCTTAGCACACCCACAGCCTAACCTGCGTTACCAGCAGAGCCGTCCCCTTTAAGAAAGGTGGGCTTGTGGGTAACCTGTGCCGTCTTTTTGTTGGAAGTGAGTCTTTCCCGGTGTATAATACCATAGTTATATTACCATAGTTACTGAATAGCTGTGTGTTGTTGTGCCACAGAAAATAAAGTAGTCCCTGGTATGTAACATTAAGGTTACTATGGTGTGTGGTTCTTGTGCAGCTAGTCAGCGGGTTTACAGCAGACACACTGTGTCTCTTCGCCCCTCGCTATTTTCTTTCTCTGTGCGTGTGCGGACAGTAATCATCCCGTGCAAAAACACCGTAGTGCTGTATGGCTGTATATGCAAAGAATATGCATCGGATGATTTTTAGTAACCGAGCTACTCAATTAACCAAGAATCGTTTCAACCCTAAAGTTTAAACAGGGATGGCCAGTCCTGTCTGCCGTCATCTGGCAGAAGCTTAATAGCCGTTTTATTTTTCCTTAATTCAATCATGACTTTTTGGTTGCATCAAGCACAATCTTTGCTTACCAAGTACTTCAGGGAGAATGAACCACAGTCTCATCTAGTTTCCAGTTTGTGCTTTCATGTAACTTTTGATGCCCTGTGGAGTTTCTGAAATAAAGTTTTGTAAAATGATGCTCCCCACAGTGTCTGCTCTTTTCCAAGATTCCTATCAGCCTCTCCTTTCTGCATAGTCAGTCAGAGCTATGCTGGTTGCCAGGCAACCGGTTGATGTATGGTGTCATTGTTCATTGTGTGCATGAGTCACCTGTAAGCCAGGAGCTGATAACAAACTAATGACATGGCAGCCAAATCAGGAAAAGGCCACCTACCAATACGTGCGGCGCTGCAGGATCGGGTGTAGAGTGTGGGTCTCGTATGTACACACACACACACACACTTTGTGTTGTGCATGTTATTCCTGAATGATTAATTACGCTTCCCGGAAACAAATGGGGAAACCTAGTTTGATGGGAGAAACTATTTAAGCTTCACTTGGTGAAACTCCCCTGCCAACAGAAAAAAATATTGCTTAAAAAGTTTTGTTTATTAGTTCATCAAGTGTATCTGAGTTGTTCCTGTTTCTGTTTTAAGGCTGCAACTCCAGATTATTTTCATTATTGATTAGCCTTGTGAGCCTTTAGTGATTATTTGTTGAATTAATTGTCTAGTCTAGAAAATGGCAGAAGAAGTCAATAAAGGATTTGTTGAAGCTCAAACAAGCGATGTGTGACATTTCTGCTTGATAAATTACATAAAAGGAGAATTGATTAACACAGTTGTTGATTGATTTTCTGATGACAAACGAATAACTTGATGGGCTAATCATTTCAGTGCTAGGTCTGTTATTTTCCACGTTTTATTTTTGAAAGGTTTGAAGATACAGATTGAATGAGCTTTAGAAAACCATCTTACCTCCTTTTTCTTCTCACTGAGATGAACATGCTGCTTAATATAAAGGTCCTTTTATAAATGGCATTTTTTATTATCATCATCTGGCATAGTCTGGTAACAGCTTATCTGGTTAAAAGGAGAGGAGACCTTTACAGTGAATTAAAGGGATTAATTTCTCATTAATCTGCCTTTGCTGGGTTAACTGACCGTAGGAAGGTTGAGCCCACGCTACTCTCTGCTGAGAAGATTAGATGTGTCTGAGGTGACGTCTGAGGAGACTGAACGAGCCCAGCGTCGGTGCTGGAGAGGAATAAGAGAGAAATAAAAAATGCTTTGCCCATCTCTCTCGCTGCCTGGCTGAACAGTGCGGACCGGGACCGTTTGTGTTAACGGCAGCTAACAAGCATCTTTCTTAACACCAATTAACGTGGTTAGAAAACACAGTGGAAGTTCATTAATCTGCATTTCACTGTGCACATAAGTGTCTTGTTACTGTCTTTACACTGTGTATGAGTTACACAGTGTAGTTGGATCTGGTGTGCAGAGATAGACAGGAGGCAGTATATTAGCATTTTAATGATGCATCACTGGAGTGCAATAACATGAACAGAATCAGTGAAGTATCTGGTGGTTGCGAGCCATGATCTGTACACTGTTGACCTGTGTTAGAGCGTGTGGAGCGTCTGTGTTTGCCATATGCCCATATGCTCTGTTGATTTATGCTTATCTACCGCCAAGGCCTAATATCACTCACAACACTTGTACAACTAACTGTTATCAGGATAAAGGGACAGCATAATATACATGTTAACTCTCATGATACACTAACTGATTAATCAAGTAACAGTTTTCAGCTCTAACAGCGATATTCACACACGTCTTGGAACCGTAAGTTGTGTGGAAATTCAAATGATAAAACTGTCTATAGATAAACTAACTAGTTGCGAATGTAAATATCTGACAATCAGGCTGCTTTATCATGACAGAATACTATAAATATTAATTGATATGTC